GTGGGGACCACCCCGGAAGCGGTGGAGCCACTGGAGGCCGCTCTGCGCGAGGAGGGGGAAGGCGAGCCCGTTGATATGGTCCAGCGACTCCAGCGCAGCCTGGTGCCCCGTGGAGGACAGGACGCGATGGCGGAAGCGGCCGCTCTGTCCGAGGACGCGGCGCCAGCGGCCGGCATAGCGAAGCAGCGTGAGCACGAGGTGGGGACCGCCCCGGAAGCGGTGGAGCCACTGGAGGCCGCTCTGTCCGAGGACGCGGCGCCAGCGGCCGGCATAGCGAAGCAGCGTGAGCACGAGGTGGGGACCGCCCCGGAAGCGGTGGAGCCACTGGAGGCCGCTCTGTCCGAGGACGCGGCGCCAGAGGCCGGCATAGCGAAGCAGCGTGAGCACGAGGTGGGGACCGCCCCGGAAGCGGTGGAGCCGTTGTACTCGGCGCTGGACGAGGAGCCCCGCGAGGAAGTTGGCGCTGCGGCCGTTGCTGAACGCCATTTGGGGGTGGAGGGCGAGGAGGAGTTGCTCGGCATGTACGATAGTACTTTGAAGGATGTAAAAAAGACACGAAGGCGGCGCAAGGGCGCCAACCTGATGGGGGCCGCAACCTCCTTTGCATCCATCCCCGAGGAGGAAGTGGTGTATGTTGCCGACACGGACGAGGCTCTTCCGGGGAAGCCTTTGTATGCCTCAGTGGTGCAGGATGCAACAGTTCAGACTGGCGCGTGCGCCGTGCTGGAAAAACATGAGGTCGGCGCAGTACCTGACGCAATTGAGCCACTGGAGGCCGCTCTGTCCGAGGACGCGGCGCCAGCGGCCGGCATAGCGAAGCAGCGTGAGCACGAGGTGGGGACCGCCCCGGAAGCGGTGGAGCCACTGGAGGCCGCTCTGTCCGAGGACGCGGCGCCAGCGGCCGGCATAGCGAAGCAGCGTGAGCACGAGGTGGGGACCACCCCGGAAGCGGTGGAGCCACTGGAGGCCGCTCTGCGCGAGGAGGGGGAAGGCGAGCCCGTTGATATGGTCCAGCGACTCCAGCGCAGCCTGGTGCCCCGTGGAGGACAGGAC